ACGAGAGTGGGAATCCGAGTATGCATGCGCCGTAACCCAGTCCGTGGGAGACGTGTATGTGTATAAGTGAGATGAGATGGGTGTAAGTGTGTATAGCGAGATGAGATGTATGCAGCAGGACTGTATGGATATGAGGGAGACGAGAGAAGGAAATGGAAATATTAACAGGTAGTAGTTTGGTTTGGTACATCCGGCGCCCGGGAGCCGAGTTATACGTCGGCCCAGCGCGAAACGGGGTTGGTGTGCAGCGCAGGAGGAAGCGAGCGAAGGGCACAGACCGAGGATGAAGCGAGCGGGCGAGAATAAGGCACCAGGGAGGGAGGGCTATACCCCAAGCGCAAAGCTGAGCGAGCTCTCTCGCTCGCGCTCCCCGGGGGTGTCGAGCGCCAGGGGCGGGGACGCAGGCGCGGACGACGATCCGCCGAACCACCCGAGCCCCATCGCGCCCATCGCCATCCCAAACATGCCTATCCCCATCTCCACGCCCATCCCCAGCCCCACGCTGCCCTCGCCCTGCCCTGCCGCATCCACGTGGCCACCTTGCGTGTCCACGTCCATCGCGTCGCCGCTGCCGTCCACAGCAGGCACGCCCTCCACCCCCACGCTCTTCAGAAACTCCTGCCACACCGCCTCGTCCGGCTCAAACGCCTCGCTCATCTCCCGCCGCTCGCGCGCGCGCCGCTCCTCCGCCGTCCCCTCCTCTTCCTCCTCCCCGCCCCTCAACGACCTCACGAGGTCCTTCAGCCCCCGCATCGGCAGCATCTCCGGCTCCCCCTGCTCCCTCAGCCTGGGTAACGGCGGCAAGCCCTCCCCCCTCCCCACCCCCTCCACGACCTCCCCCCGCCTCCCCCCCCTCCGCCGCCGCGCGCTGCTGCATCGCCAAATACATCGGATGCGGCCGCGGCCTTGGCTGCGGCAGCCTCCTCTCCAACGTCCCCCTCGCCCCCGCCCCTCCCCCCTCATACGCCGCAAACTCCCACTCCTCCATCGCCGCCCCGCCCTCGACCCACGCCGCGCGCCGCACAGGGTCCACCGGCGTCCCGCGCCCCTTGCGCCGCTCCCCGTGCGCGGGCTGCACCGCGATGTCCTGGAACAGGTGCCTTAGCACCGGCACGCGCACGGACGCAAGGCGCGGCGGCGGCAGCGGGAGCGGCGGCAGCTGCTGCTGCTGCCCCCCGACGTAGAACGCGCTCAGCACGCCCCCCATCGCGCGCGGGTCGTCGTCCATCTGTGCGTGCGGTTGTGCGTGCGGTTGCGCGTCGTGCTGCTGCGCGTGGTCGTCGTCCACATACCCCTTATACTCCTCGTCCACCTCCGCCTCCCCATCCGCGTCCCTCTCCCCCTCGCCCTCCGGGGAGACGTCCCCCGACCACTCTTCCGGCGAGACGTCCCCGGACCATTCCTCCTCCGGCGAGCCGTCCCCCGACCCGTCCGACCCGCTCTCCTCGAGCTCCCAGTCGTAGTACTCCTCCTCCATGAACAGCAGTGCGTCCGGGTGCTGCAGCCCGTGCGCGGAGAAGTAGTCGTCCGCCTCCTGCGCGACGAGCGAGCGGATGAGCGCGGGCGTGTAGCGCGTGCGTCTGTGGGGGATGGTGGCGTTAGCGTGGGTTTTAATTCCAAGTAAACAAAAAGAGGGAAAGAGAAAGAAGTGGGGAGGAGTCGCACGGCGGCGGCGTCTGTCTCCGTTTCGCAGGCACGGCAGGCACGTCGCACGAGATCCGGCCGCGGAAACGGGGAGGTCACGACCGCGTTTCCAAACCAGGAGAATCGCTCCCCACCCGCCGGCGCAGGCTAAAATCAAAAAGAACGAGGCGAGGAGGGGAAAGGAAAACCAAATCCGCCCTCGCGCCGGCGCGAACCCTTCCCCTTCCAAAAAACGAAAAAAAAAACGAAAAAAAAACGAAAAAAACCCCCAAAGCGAAAAAAAAAAGGAATTGAAAAAAAACTCACACATCCCACACCCTAACCCGACACGCAATCTTCCACACGCCCCACGCCTGGCTCAGCCGCTCGTGCGGGTTCGGGCCCAGGTCGCCACCGCCGACGCTGTTGCTGTTATGTGTGATGTTTATGAGCGTCGGGGTGTTGGGGTTGGCGGTGTCGTTCCCGGGGTGTGCATTGGCGTCGGAGAGCGGCGATTGTTCCTGCTGCTCGCCGCCGTTCCGTTGCTGTTGCTCATCGGCATCTGGCACGTCGACACCAACCTCCCACGAACAAACGACCACCTCCCCGAGCCGGCTGCGCCGCCGCCCCATCGCCCCGCCGCGCGCGCCGTACGCCGTGCGGTTGTCGTACCCACGGGCGTCGTACCCCTCGGGAGCACCGTTGCGGGCGTCGTACTCCCCAGACGATGCGTAGCCCTCAGACGCTGATGCAGACGCAGACGCAGAGCTGTCGTATTCGCTACCCGCAGACGACGCATAATCCTCCGCCACCTCGTCCGGCAAACCATCCGGGTCCTGTCCCCCCACACCCACAGTAGACGCTGATGGAGACGCCGCCCCATACGCAGAGTACACCCCATACGGGCCCGCCTCAGCAAGCCCAAGCCCCGCCTCAGCGAGCGCCCTCGCCCCGGCGCGCCTCCGCCGCTCGAGCAGCGCCGTCCACTCCACCGCGCGCGTGTGTCGGTCGGGCGAGAGGGGCTGCTGGTGCTGGGTCTGTGGACCGGTGCCTGTGGGTATGGAGAGGGGCGTGGGTATGCTGGGTATGTTGAGGGGAGCAGGATGGATATTGGGGAGAGGAAGGGAATGGGTGGTAGGACTCTGACTCGGACTCGAAGCAACCCCAAGCGCCACCCCCCCGCTCGTCCCGCCCGTCATGTCCACGCCGTCCAAGTCCAGGTCCAGCTCCCCCAGGTCGAGCCCGTCCATTTCGTTGGTGCTCTTCATAGCGCTGTCCAGGCTCATAGGGCTGTCGAGGTCCTTGTTTGCAGAGGGGTCCGTGGCGGGGCGCAGGTCGCGGAACGCCCCCGATCCGGCGGCGCGCGGCAGAGGCCAGTCGGGCGATACGCGCGGGGCGGCGGCGGCGAGGGCGAGCTGCGCGGGGGAGAGCGCGAGCGCTAGTGGGAGGGCTGGGAGGGCGATTGGGCCTCCTGCGCCGGTACTACTCGGGGGTGTGGATGCGGATGAGGTGGGCGCCGGAGAAGAAGAAGGGGAGGAAGGGGGTGAGGATGGAGGGGATGATGCTGGACAGAAAAACGATGAGCGTGCGACACAGCTCGGGGGCGGGCGGGGGTACGTACCGTCTAATGAAGACTCTGTGATGGTGTCCTCTGTGGGATCGTCGGGTGGGGGACTGGTCGTCCCTGAGGACACCAGTGGTGACGCATCGTCGGGCGGCGGGAGGGACGCGGGGGCGGGGGCGAAGGGTGACGGGGCGAGGTCGGCCGGGAGGAGGGGTGCGCGTGCTGCGCCGGGTGAGCGGAGGGAGAGCGGGGGAGAGCGTAGGCGAGGGGGGTTTGGGTGAGGGTGGTGTCGGTAGGGTGGGTAACGTAGGCGAGGTGGTGGGCGAAGTCGACAAAAAGGCGGGCAAAGGCAACGTAGGAGACGTCGGCGACTCGTACGGCGTCAAGGGCGAGGAGGGCATCTCGACGTCGTCGGGCTCTTCGCACTTCACGCGCACCTCGCCGTCGCGCTTTGCACGCAGCGCGCGCAGGTGGTCCGGGTGTACCTGCTCGCAAGCGTCGACGTCCATGATGTCCGTGTGCACGACGCCCATGTCGATCTCGTCCAGCCGCCCGGCGCCCGGGCTCGCGCGCAGCAGGATCGGGTTCGTCTGCTGCTCCTGCTGGCGCCGCGCACGCGGGGAACGTCTTTTTGTTTGTGTCGGTGTCGGTGTCGGTGGTGGTGCGGGCGCTTGTACCCGGGCTGCATGCGCAGACGAACGCGCTTTACCCCTGCGCGGGGGCGGGGGCTGCTAAAGTAGATGCAAAATTAGCATTCGAAGTAGAGAATAAAATAAAATAACGAAAAGACACACCTCTGCTACACAGCGCCGCTTGCGCACCACGCCGCCGCCGTCCTGAGGATCAGGCGACTTGCGCTTGCGCCCGCTCCCACCGGCATTGCGGTTGTCGAGCTGTACCAGCACGCCGTCCGCGTCACCCGAGTGCCTTCGCAGCGCGCGCAGGCTGCGCGGGGTGCCCGCATGATGATTTGGATTCACGGACACCGGCACGCGCGACGTCGATGCGACAAGGGCGAAGCGGGCGCTGCGCCGCGGGGTTTGCTGTTGCTGACTCGTGGTGTTAGTAATAGTCTTGGGATGACTGCTCCTCGTCGCCGTCGTCGTAGTCGTCGTGCCCACACTCGTGCTGGGCATCCCGGTGTCTGTGTGCAATCACTGCCTTATTATCCTTGTTTGTGTTGTGTTTCTTTCTTTGTGCAGCGGAGGGATGACAAGGGACGCAAACGGGGAGAAGGCGACGGGGGGCGTGCCAAGCACGCGCAAGCAGCACCCGACAGAGAGGCATCATGACTCAGCATTGTACAATGACTCCCACAGCAACACGTGGCGACCCCATAATCCTTTGCGCAGGAGGGAGGCAAGGGAGGGGAGCAGAACGAGACGACACAATCCAAACCCGGTACGGTACATACACTCTCCTTCCGCGGTACTTATCCATGATGCCATCCGGGAACAAATTGCATGGCACATCCCATTCCGGTTTCTATTTATCCCCGGCGGCCGTCCGTGTGTCGCCGCCGTGTGTCCACAATTCATATTATCGAAGATCCTGATCCAATACGTTAGGATTCCCGGATCCGTGTGTTCAGGCCCAACCGGGTACAGCCGGGTACTCCCAATCGAGCACCTCCTCGACACGGAGGCAATTTATCCAATCTCGTTATCAATAAATGTACGGAAAACAAACGGAACTCACATTCTTTTCTTATTATGTCGCCACTCTGGATCTGCCCTATGTACACCTGCCAACCACCCTAACTTCCCAACTAACATAACCCCTCCTATCCCCGTAATGCCGCAGGTTAAGAACAGCATTAGTGGGGTAGTGGTAACCTGGGTCGTTGCCATGCAGCATTGCGTTGAAATTCGACCCGCCGGGAGTTCGATTCTCTCCTAATGCATTCTTTTTTACTTTTATTTGTGTATTTTTATTTCTATATTCCTACCTCTTTCATTTCGTCTTACAACAGCATTAGTGGGGTAGTGGTAACCTGGGTCGTTGCCATTCTTCGTAAGAGTCTGAACTCGACCCGCCGGGAGTTCGATTCTCTCCTAATGCATTCTTTTTGCGCTTTTTACATATTTTCCTGACTCACGGCATGGGTTCGTTTTGGAGCTCCGTCAAAGGATATCTTGGAATTGTGCGCAGCGAGGATATTTTTGAGAAGAAATACAAAATACGGCAGAAAAATGCAAAAAGGAATTGCATTAGGAGAGAATCGAACTCCCGGCGGGTCGAAACAATATGAACTGCTTATGGCAACGACCCATACCCCACTAATGCTGTTAGAGAAAATGGGGAAGGAATGAAGGATGTGAAAAGACATAAAAAAGTAAAAAAGAATGCATTAGGAGAGAATCGAACTCCCGGCGGGTCGAAACTAGCCGCATTGCGGTACCTGATGGCAACGACCCAGGTTACCACTACCCCACTAATGCTGTTCTCAAGTAGCAAGTCGATAGTGGGAGCTTAACAATCTGCACGTCTGGAAATTACTCTGCAACCAGTACAAATAATTGGATCTTTCGCCAATATCTCTGTAATACAAATAAATAAAATAAACAGGCTGAAATATTTTTTTCTCTAGAAATACATCTTCCAAATTGAAGTACATAAATAGGTGAAATATCAAATCAATCCTACCTTTTTTTTCTTTCGTAAATTCATGTGACAGCAAAGTTGGAAAGTTCGACCGTTGCAACATACTCATTCAAAATTCAACTGTTGCACTTATTTAATCCTCCTTGCCAGGAATTGATTTATCTATTTCATTTGCGGTACAAGGGTGATGTAATTTCTACTGTAACTTGTGTAAGCGCAAAAAGCATGCATTAGGAGAGAATTGAACTCCCGGCGGGTCGATACTTTGATGGTGGCACTGGCATGGCAACGACCCAGGTTACCACTACCCCAGTCTCTCTTGACAGACACTTCAGTAGTTCTAACTCGTTCCTCGTTTACTGACCACTACCCCACTGATGCTGTTGTTGTCCCTTGGCCCCAAAGTCGACCCATTTCTCAACATGGACAACTCGAACTCTGAATATCTCGCCTACTGCAATCCAACGGCAACAATCAAATATTCTGCCTCTTGTTTTGCAGTGCTCACATTCCAGGCGGCTGCAGAACTTCAACACCGACAGATTTACGACCCAAAAACTGTGTCTACATGGACATTCACAGAGGAGATACCCCCCCCAAACCTCGACAATCTATAATCCGAGTAACCCACTGGAGGCATTGGCTGGTGGGGTTTCCTGAGAAACCCGGTTCCCCAATAACACGTTCAATTTGGGAGGGGTTTCTCTGAGAAACCAGGTTACTCATTAGAATTATACCTCCAGCTCAGGCATATTGAACAGGCCAGCAGCATTGCATCATGCCTTCGAGCATATATACATGTAACGCGCTCATTTCTTGATTCCAGCTCAACTCTAAAAATCTTCTAGCTATATTACATCGCTCCTTGAATTCATTAACTCAGCAGGATTCAAGCCAATCGTTACGATTGAACAAGCGCCAAACAACCGCCCATAAGACACTTTTAGATGCTGCCGCAGAAGCCGCCGGTCCGCGTGACCTACACAAAGCCTACACGCCTTTCTTGTGAGTACCATGTCGGAGGACCCTACGCTTCGGGATGCCCCCATCCCCTTCTCCGGAGCTTTTGATGCAGACGACGGCAGTCCTCCTTCGAATTTCGTCCTCAGATCCAGCGATGGCGTGGATTTCCACGTGCACCGTGATATCCTCAAATTTGCGTCCGATTGCTTCGATGGCATGTTCGCGATCCCGGGGGGCGATTGCGATCCCGATGGTTTGCGTCGGGACGGCAAGCCCGTGCTTGTCCTTCCCGAGCCGGAGGCAGTACTCTTCCAACTACTTTGTTTAGCCTACCCTGCAGATACACTGGCCCCCTACACATTTGAACAGCCGGATCTTGACATCTTCGCTGCTGTCTACAGAGGAGCACAGAAATATCAGTTTTTGCGCGTACAGCGCATACTGAAACAGATGTTGGACCATTCAGCCCTTATCAATAAGCACCCGCACAGATTCTTTGCCTTCGCACGGCTGTGCGACCTCCCCGAGCTTTCTCGAAAGGCGGCTCTCTTGACGCTTCAATCCCCGCTCTCTCACGACACTCCTGTATTCCCTGAAATGAAGCTCCTTTCCTGGGAGGATGCCCACATCTTGTATCGGTTTCACCAATTGTGCGGCCAGAAGGCGGGCGAACTTGCGGAGAAGGCCGCACTTCCATGGTCGTCGTCCGACAAAGCACCCCCAATCTGGTTCTGGAGTGACGACAGCTGCAGTATATTTGCTTGGTGGAGTCATGGCCACAATGGTCAGTGCAAAGACGCGGTACGAGACGCGCCTGTGCAATGGTTCAAGGAACACACTGCTCGTCTTGCGGCGCAACTCCGCTTATGTCCCTCGGGTGCCACGGCGAAGAGGAAGGCGCTCAGTGTGGCCCCGACCGACTGTGTGATTATGGACACATGTTCTTTGTGTTCCGAGCGCGCGGATGCGGACCTTGCAAGCTTTGCGCGCCTGTTGGCCAAGGAAATCGATCTATCAAATATTCGTCTCGGTGAGCTGTAGCCCATATTTAGTACCTTCCCTACTGACGAATCTGCTGCGCTTATTAAAGCTGAAGAAACGTTCCAATGATGTTATATTTGAAGAACTCGTTCGAGCTTGCGGGATATTATGTGGAGCATCTTCGATGCAAACAAGCTGAATGCGTGTAATGTACAATAGGCTTGTTGGAACTACCCAAGGAAAATGGAGGCAAAGGCTCCTCTGTGCTCTCGAAATTGGTCCTTGTCCGTACTACACTGTCCCGAAACAATACACGGCTTCCACTTTTGCTGTAGCGCGGACGAACCACAACTCAACTACCAAATATGAAGGACCGGGCGTACACGGGAATATCAGACTTCCACCTTTCTTGACGGTGCATACACTGGGAGAGATTGTAGTTGCGGCCGCGACTGCAGCTCAGAGTATACACGTCGAAGTCGAAGCTGGAGGCGGAGACGGAGTGGCGACAGGAAGACCAAGACAAACATAGGGAACGAGGGCCAAGCAACAGGTGTTCTCAGCACGGTACCCGCTCGAAGCAAGAATTCGAATCTCCACCCGAGGCTCGCTGGCTCGCTCCCCAAAGCAGCGCGCGCGGTCCATGTGCGAGCTTCATTCGTGCGTCGAGTGACTCAGGTAGAGCAGATCCGACGCCGCCGTATCCCAGTTGATGTCGGTGAGCAGCGCCGTGCTACCGATGGGCCGCGACATAGGTGAAATATCAATCCTGCCTTTTTTAAATTTTTTGCAAATACATTGGCAGCAAAGTTGGAAAGTTCGATCATTGCATTTGTTCAAAGTTCAACTGTTGCACTTTTCTTGCCAGGAATTGATTTATTTCATTTGCAGCGCAAGGGCGATGCAATTTCTAGTGTATGGAGCGAGGTATTCAATGTAGACAGATGCCTCAACATTTTCATTCAAGCCAGGGAAGAATGGGTTCGTCAGCTCGGTCCACTCTACATATGAGCCTGTGGTCGCCGAGATTCTGCAAAGTGCATTGATTGATCCCAACTCGAAGCTTTCTTCGTGATTTCCCCCTTATGTGTGCCGCTTCGTGCGACAAATTATCAGCCGGAAGATCAAGGATTGAACCGGAAATCAGATGGTATGTATTATTCTGAGCTCACGACTTGGTGAATCAAGTTAGAAGAATTCTGGCAAGGAGGATCTAGGAAGATTATCAGAGTTCGAAGTAAGTATGGGATTTCGAGGACCGGGATGTATGTACTTCACCAAGCTAAATAAAAGGTTGAGCTGGAAAGGGGCAGAATGGTCCCATTAATACTGGCTGGCAACGCGACTCGGAGGGATACATATGCGAAATACATGGTGCCTGATGTATGTGTAAAACATGATGATCCAACAACAATATTAAATGCACTGTACCATCGCGAGCCATAACTTTCAACAAAGAGTCACCTACTAGCATTTGAGCAATGCTTATCTCTGCCCACGTACTCCCGGCGCAGAGTGAGCCCTAACACAAAGATGTCGGCGCACACAAATCTGAAAGAATTGAGTCCGAGAGATATAAATTATCAGCTGTTTGCACTACCCAGTATTATTCAATTGCCACAGAAATGGTATGAGTACAGACAAATCCGCCTGATCGATTTATTTAGATGTAATTTGAAGAGAGGTTGCGCTATTCAAAGCTTTCAACCCGGTAAAAAAAATTAAAGGTGGGGATTTCAGGCATGTTAACAGAACTTACAACGATTGTGTGGTTTGCTTTTTCAACTGTTAATGGTATATCAAACTCTTCGCGTTTCATGAATCCACAAAGCTACCGCAAGCGCTTATTTCCTTTTGGTTGAAGCGGGTCGCGCGGTCCGCCGGACATTCCGACTGCCCAATAAGTTAAGCGATGTCAATTAAATGAGCGTGGTGTTCTGGCTTTCCATACAAGAGCGGTGGAGCAGCCCAGAAAAAATCAGTATGCGGAGATTCTGCGGGGCGTGAGCCACACCCACTCGGTCGCCGCTTCGATCGTCAGGAGATGGTCTATCCTGCATGACAGACTAAATGCAATTGACTTTTTTTCCGATGGAGTCAGACGAACTTGAAGGGCGCCGAGTATTGGCCTGATTAGCAACTATACAGTGAGAGTCTCACAAACAAATAAGTTGCCACCAAGGGCGTTAGGGAGCTGATTGTCTCATACTTCTGGGCTGGCGCCATAAGTGGAGCAAGGTGACATGCCAGCAGGCGCCCACGCTGTCAACATTCCTCATCAATCATCTCGAGGCTATTTATACTAAGTCAAGGGCAAAGTGCGCACCGCCCGTAGACTCACGCTCATTTGCACGCTGGAATGCTTGGTTTGCTTCAATATTTCACTGATCATTGAAGACTATAAAAATAATAACTTACATGCCCACCCACTACGTTCCGCAGCCTCCTAGGCATAGCTGTGCCTATGTTAGCGTAGGTCTGGGTAGGTCTGCCTAGACGGCTAGGCAGATCTGCCTAGCTGTGCCTAGCTGTGCCTAGGGCTGTGCCTAGGGGGCTACGCAGACCTACGCAGACCTACGCTCAGTTTGTCTAACTGAGCGTAGGTCTGCGTAGGTCTGCGTAGGTGTCTGCCTAGGGGCCCGCGGAACGTAGTGACCGAGAAAGATAAGGCAAATAGTACAATAACTAGCTTTGTATTTTATCGCTTTGCGGGGCTTCTGATGGAACTATGTTCGTTCTAATGTTATCAAACAGACTCGTCATCTCGATCCAAAGTACGAATCTGCGGTCGCCCATGTTGTACGAAATGAAGGGACTCGAGTTGTGTCGAGTCGTTGTTTTCGCGGATTTGGCTTGCTCCCTCTATATGGGCTGCTTCGTGCAAATTGAGCAT